AGAAGAAGAAGAAGAAGAAGAAGAAGAAGAAGAAGAAGAAGAAGAAGAAGAAGAAGAAGAAGAAGAAGAAGAAGAAGAAGAAGAAGAAGAAGAAGAAGAAGAAGAAGAAGAAGAAGAAGAAGAAGAAGAAGAAGAAGAAGAAGAAGAAGAAGAAGAAGAAGAAGAAGAAGAAGAAGAAGAAGAAGAAGAAGAATTCCTATTTTAAGTGTTCTCAGGCAATGAATGAACTATCCTAACATTATCAGGCAACATGGTGTCTGGAAAAGGAAGGTTTTTGGTTTTTAATTGTCCAAATGAGTAGCTCTGTTAGTCCATAAAAAGCTATTTAGATCTTGCTACATTTGGGCAATAGTATGTACCAAAAAGCACATGCAGAGCAAAGACAGAAGTTTGTTGTTACTTTAATAGCAGACTGCTAAAGTAGAAAAAGAATGCACTCTAACAATCTATCCCTGATCAGAGATCCTATGAAATGATAGAAAAGATGTCTGGAATGCTTGTGATGAAAAACAATGTCTCCAACTTCACCATATTAGATAGCTTCAGCCTTCAACCTTCCATTTTTATGGAACATCATGGAGAAGATTATGGGAATCCAGGGCAAAGAATCATCGGTGAAATTAATTAGCTGGGTCATTTTCAGATAGGACTTAAATCCAGGCATGGGACAGAAACAGTAATAGGCTGCTCTTGTGCGATGGACAGCGAGAGTGTAGCTGTCCTTATTCTATTAGACCTTAGTTGGTTTTGACACTGATCATGATAGTGTCTTGGACCACCTATGACTGGTTGAAGGCACTGTATTATAAGGGTTCATCTCATTCCTGATGTTGATAGCTTTAGAGCAGAGTGACTGTCCAGCAAACATAGTTGGGGAGGCGCAGGTCTAGAACTATGGGGTTTCTCTTCAATTCATAGTTATAGTTGGATCCATAGATGAAGACACAGCCCTGAATGCCTTTACGAAGACCAGCTGTGGTCCATTTCTGGAGTACGAAACTCTGAGAACAGTCATCTTTGTCTTCATTATCTCCAGATAGGATTAATGCAATGAGCTTCACATGGGGTTGCCCTTGAAGTTTCTGCTCATGTTTTTAAAATAATATAAATTTCTTACACAGCCTATATTATGAATAACTGCATCAATCCAGATTATTTGCATTTGATGGGTAAGTCAGATTCAACTCAGTGTCACATTTTGCTGCAACAGCAAGATTATTTGACTTAATATCTTTAAAAAATATATAGGCCCACCACAAATAATTGTTACTACAATTAAATGATATCAAACTGATCAACAAGATATTCCCTGGTCTCTCCTCCCAACCCCCCCTTGCAATATAAAACAGTATTTCTTTTGTATTTAGTGGCTATCCACACTGTTAGATTTTCCAGAAAATAATGCCTTATGTTTATTTTGTAGTTTTAAGCATTATGGGATGCAATTAGCAAGTTCCATTCGCTGATGGATGGATCATCTTTGCACTTTCTCAACAAGGTAGCATTACCAGATTAAAAAGAAAAGAGAATAAATAAGAGCATCACAGGCATCAAGATATTACTCTAGCCCCTAGAGACACTAATTTGGAAACTCTAGCATTAATGATTTCGTATAAATTATTTCAGAAAATATTTTATAACCAGAATCTGAAAAATAGCATATGCTTGAATTCTGACAAAACTTAATTCATCATATATCATAAAGTCTGAATAAGAACATTAGTCTTAAATAGATACCATACCTAGCTTGCATCCAACCTTTTGGCCAAAGGGGCTTCACCTCTGTCTCCATAAATGTCTTGAGGTAATCTTCTGCAGATTGACTTTTATTTGGCTCTAGTTCATAGCAATCCAGCTTTATCTTGATAAGATTACACAGCAAAGTCCTGTTGAAATAAACCTGGCTGTCTTCAATACATCAAGCATCACTTGTCAAAGTTATTAATTTACCTTTCACATTTTCTCTAAAAATAGAATTATTCAACAATAACTTTTAGTTAACCATATTATACTGTAAGATATAATACAACTGGTTTTTAGTTTCTTGTACTCTGTTTTATCTTTTCTATAATTTAAAACAGGCATTTCCATTTTTGGGGGGACATTTCTTACCCATGAACACTGCAATCAATAGATACTAATTTCCCACAATTGAGAATTTGTTAAGTGAAACTGTATAAAAGTTACTTAAATACAGAAATGGGTTTAAGAAATGAAGATAAACAAATCTGCACTGAAGAAATATTTCTTGTATATTTAATCACACTTGGCCAAATAAAGTATTGTATTCAATTCAGTTCAATTCAAATAGAGTTGAGGAGGAAAGGTGAAAATGAGTTTCTTCCTTTTTCATACTCATAAAGCTGGTGGAGAATGAAAGCAAATATCACTACACACTTCAGATTTTTAGCCTATAGAGCAAAATTATTTCCATTTCTTTTTACACTCCTTTTAACTTCTTTTCTGATAATCACTCACATGGGAGCTAAGACAAATTAAATACTGAGAACATTTACGTAACCCAAATAGCAAAAGATTCTGGGACAAGAATGCCAATATAGCCAAGTTTGCAAAGCCTTATGCAGTGAAAAGTATCAGAAAATACAGAGTGAATATTAGATAGCACTTAGGAAGAAGTAAATTAGCAAGAAAGATGAGCTTCACATTAGCCAAAAGTCTTATTTGTGTTATACCTCCATGCAGTTTATTTCCACTCCAGAACCGCATGCATTAGCTATTGTAGAGTTACATTTATGACTATGCTCCATCTCAGGAAAAGAAGTCCAAGACATTTTTTTTCTGATCTGAAATAACTTTTATTAGGCTGTGCTATGGTAATTTATAATACCTCTAATGGAGTATCAAAAATATAGTATCATACCTCACTGTCTCATCCCAGTAGAATTTTTTTCTTGGACCTGCAATCCTCTTTCCTGGTTTTTCGTCATCTTCCTCTTCTGAACCATTCTTGTCTCGCTCATCTTCTGCTTGCATTCTGGAGCAAAAGAGTAAGCACAGTATTGTAAAGAATAGAAACAGAGGTATGCTTACTTCCCCATCATTACACTGCCAGAAAGACTCAGATATCTGCTAGTTGCTTATTTGCAATTGTCTGGTCTCTATGTGTCTCTATGTGAAGGTCCAATTAAACTGATGTATGTATGTATGTATGTATGTATGTATGTATGTATGTATGTATGTATGTATGTATGTATGATCATGGCTATGAACAGGAATCTATTCAACAAAGGTTAACATATCCTTAGTGTTAAATAAGGGCCAATTGAATTCAAGGGTGGTTGAATTTAGTTGTGGCCACATACGGAGTATAGCCTTCTAACTCCATTCCCAGGTTCTGCCACTTCTTTTCCTATAGCAGTTGATGCATTGGTATTCTAGATAGAAGTTGATATTTGCAGTCCATCACCTTAAAAGTTACTGAATATCTACACATATTTTGGACACTGAAATGAGCCAATTTCCATTTAGTTCATTGCAAGAATTATGAAAAAACTACCAATATGTAAGAGCTTCATGAGACAAGAAGAGTCAGTTGTATGACTGCACTGAAAATAACTTAAGAATTCAGATATGGGAAAGCAATCTGGTCCTGTCTCACAGTTACAAAACTATTTAATAAGTGATGCAAGATTTGTCAGACATTCATCTACCTATTAAGTTTCATAAAAAATAAATAATTACTACTTATCAGCTAGTATGTATGTCAATACAGATCAGGAATCTGGTATCACCTTTTCCAATTAAAATAGCTGTTAATCAAATTTCTTAATTTCTTAGTCAGAAAATACACTATCAGACTCCTGATATGTTACAATCACAGATTAATAAGAATTTACTCCTACAATGACAAGAACATAAATGAAACTTGAAAACTTAAAAATGGAGGGCAATTTTAATGGAATGGTCCTTGAAGAATTTCAAATGGATTATTTGGTAGCACAAATGTATATCCAGTAACTAGCTGTAGGACTAAATAAAATGGTGGTCACTAATAGCTGCTCTTTCTTACATGCGAGACCCCACTTAAGTTGTAACATCACTGTTTGCTGAACTTCAGGCTACAGCTTTTCTAACAGAAATTAAACAACTTCATCCCCACTTATGCTAAAGATTTTCAATTACAACTCTAGTACTAACTGAACAAGCAGGGTATGTTGGGGAAAAACCAAAATGATAAAGCTAAATTCTAAAAAATAGATATTTAGATAAACAGAACTTGTCATGAGCAATAGGAACAGCTTCTGCAGTTGCTTTTGCTAAGATAGCAGACAAAAAAAGGCCAAGTGAATACATGGACAGATATTTAAGGCAAGAGACTTGTCCATCTCATAAATGCTCCACTATATTCCCAGAATTAATGTACTGCAAAAAGCAGAATCTATATATAAGCAGAAAAATAGCAATCACAAACATTAATTTCCTCACATTTGGAACTTCATATTTTCTAATAAAATAGGACAGTTGCCCTTTCATTTCCCCTCTTCCCCCCATTGGCCAAAAGCTCTGTTTGGTTTGTCTACATACTTGGCATTCTTGGCTTGACTGTGTGCCTGGCAATCTTCCTGATATTTGAATAGTTGTTCAGGCATGACACAGCTGATAGCCAACTTCAATTTTTGCAATGGTTCCTTCAAGCGATCATCCTGAGAAGATACTACCATTAAAACAGTGATACAAACAATGTAATACATTCACATACTGCATCTCTGAAGCTGTCTAGTCCTTTCTCCTTGAACAACTTTCAATGTTTTTCATTTTCTGAATTAACTTGGCTCTAAAACAATTGGTATTTTTAAAAGTCTCATATTATGAAGAATACAGTTGTATATATTTTCAACAATAAAAACATTATTACTTGTTAAGAAGAGAAAGGAACATAAAGTTTGCAGTAGAAAAGCCCTTTTAGGAGGTAAGCAAAACAAATTAAATTAAACTTAAGTGATGTAAGATGTTGTGCCTACATTGCTGTTCATTTATTTGAAATATGTATAGTTCAGTCACTTACAAAGGGTCACAATCTATAAAATAGAATAAAAAATGAAAAAGTGAAATAATAATTTAAAACACCATAGTAATGCAATTGTATAGCAGCAAGTCAATTAAAAGAAAATAGGCATGCCCAGACTGCTAGGTCTAAATTCAAGAACAAAGATTCAGACCATGACAATGATACAAATAACGAGCAAATTAATTTGGCCAGTATGGTCCTGTATTCAATATAAAAGAGTTGTTTTTCATTATTTATCTTCCATAGCCAAGATGGGATTAGCTGTATTGTAAAAATCAGAACCCAAGAATGTACACAGAAATTTGAAAAATTTAAAAATGCAGAGTGGCACCTAGAATTCATCTGATATATTTTGCTTTCCAGAATTGTCTTGGTTTCCTCCAACTTTTTTGGGATTTGGAGTATGAAATATAAAGACATTGCCACCTGGAAAAAGCTTTATCCATTCATCAAACAGATCTCTGCTAATTAAGAAGTGGTGCCACTCAGCTCCCAATTTGTTATAGTGAGAGAGAAAGGCTCTAGTAAAAAAAAAAAGAAGTTTGGTTTTAGGCATGCACAGCCAGGGAAGCGGAAAATAATCCAATGGCCAGATTCTGCTTGTGATCTTGAAGCGCTAAACAAAAATGGCATTGTTTTTTTATCTATCTATCTATCTATCTATCTATCTATCTATCTATCTATCTATCTATCTATCTATCTATCTATCTATCTATCCCATCCATCCATCCATCTACCTAGCTATCTACCCACCTGCAATGTTCCTACTGCTTCTGGATCTTTTTAAGGTAAAAAGGACATTATATCTTTCCCCCTATCCCTTGAAATAGACAAAGTAATTTTGAAATTGATGGAAAAAAATTCCAGACCATCAGATAAGTTAAATAAAATAAAAAAGATTTAATAGCACTTTAAAAAATGTGTTCCTGAATTAAAATGTACATTCTTAAATCTAGCATAAAAACAAATCTACCAAATCCAAAAAGTATCATGGACATGTCTAATTATGATAGCATTGCATTAGGATTGGATTTTAATTTATTTACAATTGTGTCATCTTTTTTAAAAGTCAACATTTTTAAAAGTACCACAACAGTTCTCAAATACTTTTTAAATTAATAGTTAAAAATCAGAAATAGTTGAAAAAAGCTATTTCTGGAAAGTCTGTCTGAAAGACTGCAATTTCTAATTAATGGGGATTCACATTTCTAATTAATGTGAGAGAGCCTGGAACTAGAAATTTAACTCACAAATTAATACAAAAATAAAAATAGTTCAAAATAGAACAATAATCATCAAAGCAATTACATGATCTAGATTACAGCACACCAGGAAAATATTTAAAAAAGAATGGGATACAAATCTTTTATAATCATACACACACACACACACACACACACACACACACACACGGAGACACAATGTCAGGGCTCCTCAAATAGATTTGCCTTCAATTCCCTTATTTCTTCCTTTCCTGCTTTTGCCTATGTATTCATTTTTGGGACCTGCCAGTCTGTTGGGGGAGGGATGCTTGCATGGGGGAAATAGTTGCTTTGCTTTGTTCTGTGTGAGGTGCCCTCCCTCGGGGTATGAGGAATACGACCTGAAAACATCTGTCTTATCTCCAGACAACGGAGCCTGGGACCTTTGGGAAATGAAACTGAGAGAGTCCTTGAAAGAGGCGCTAAATCCCCTGGTTCTCATAACAGCCTGGCACCTGTGGATTGGCTGGATTTCAACCAGACAATTGGACACTGGGGGAAGGGGTTTTCAATTGCCATTTTGACATGTTCTTTCACGTGCTAAATCTTCAGACCTTGCTTTACTCTCCTGCCATCACTAACTCTCAATAAAAAGTTCCTTTTGAAATGATGCCTGCTTCAAGAGTTCCACTTTCTTGGGAGGTCTAGTTGAGGCAGGTCCTTACATGAAGCAATAGTACCCAACCCAGAGAGGTGTCTGCCCTACTGAGGGGGATTGTGCAAAATATGTCTCTGCATGGCAGCGTAACAGGAGAAGCTGGAAACGAGGACTGCAGTGAACTGCTCATCCAGATATATCCCAGAGAAGGCACCTCCACCTGGGTGGAGGAAGCTGCTACCCTAGAAGACTCCTCGAGGCCGATATGGTTGCTCGGTGTCGGGAAAAAGGAAGACTGGGAGGAAAGAGCCCAAAGAGTTACTTTCACCTGAGGAGGTCGGAAGAAGACCGGAAAGAAAAAGACAGAGCTGCTTTCTAACGATGAAGAGCCAGATAAGCAATCAGATTTGACAGAGGGGATCCTGAAGCGAACCATGACTTACACGGTGGAAGCTTTTGAGGACCTAAAAGCCAAATCCCTGGGCTGCCCAGAAAAAAAGGAAGGACTGGCAGAGGAGGTTAAGCATGGAGGAGAAGATGCTGCATCAGCCGAGGCGGTCAGTGGAGCCACAGGTTCGACCGAGATGGTGGTAGCCACTCCAGCGGCACAGCAGTGAGTAGCCCCCCTGGAGAGCTCAGACCCCACAACAGCCCAGAGAGAGGACTTCCCCGGATGAGCCGAAGCTAGTTCCATTGGGAATCAAGTTTGCCGGGGATCCATAGCAATTGGGGTTCTCCCTGGCTCACATCCTCATATACATATGGGAGGTATCTGCCCAACGATGCAGCCAAGATCAGGGTTGTCACCCTGACCAAATGGAGGAGTTCCGTGACCTGGACTAGCGCCTCAACTGGCCCAAAGACATCCTAATAAGCTGTTTCCAAGATGGGTTAAACAACGACCTGTACAACATGTGTGGCCTGCAGAGCACCTGCCTGACTGTACAAATAGAGTGTCCTGGCTGAAGAAGTGGAAATCAACCAGACCCGCAACCGTCTCATGAAGCCAGGGAGATACATACAACCTGAGAGAAGGGGAGAGGCCAGCAAAACTCTTATTAACCAGCTGCGCTCCACCTCCTGTTTCAAGTGCGGCAAGGAAGGGCATTGGGCTGTGGAATGCTGCAGCAAGATTCCAGCTAGGAAGCCGGATTGCCCCTCTGGGGGGAAGTCAAGCAAGCCGACTCAACGCCTGAAAGAAACAGCTCTGAAGTCCACCAAGGTCGTGGAGCTCCCCCAAACCCCAAAGACAGGAAATAGAGCTCCAACCCTACCGGATGACGAGTCAGGGACGTCAGAGAGCGATTATGATGATGACCCATTAGTAAGTGGGCCAATCGACCCCATAACTATGCCCATAGAACTGTCAATCCCAAGCACAGGCAGGAGGATGGCCCTAACTGCACTGCTGGACTCGGGATGCACTCAGTGCCTCATAAGCCCCAGCCTAGTCAGGAAAATGGGGGTTCCCCTTAGAAAACTCAAAGACCCCATGACATCCTGCCAACTTGATGGGTCATTAGCAGGGGGCATCCCGGCAAGCTTTATCACTGAATCCCTGCGGCTAAACATGGGAACCCACTCAGAGACTTTGGCATTTATCATGGCTCCCAGCATAGAATGGCTCCTTGTCCTTGGGCTATTGAAGGATATTGAAAGCTATGTGGTCAGCTGCCCTACCTGTGCTGCTGCTAAACGGAAGCAGGGAAAAATATCTGGCTTCCTGCAGCCGCTGGCTAGCCCTTCAGCACCCTGGAGAGATCTCCATGGATTTCATTGTGGAGCTACCCTAAAGTGCGGGAAATACTGTCATTTGGGTTGTCACTAACTTGTTCTCCAAATAAGCCCATTTTTATCCCGTGTCAGAAGATCCTAACTGTAAAAATTTTGGCTACGTTATTTGTGCAGCATGTCTATCATCTCCATGGTGCCCCAAAATGCATAATATTGGATAGGGGTGTTCAATTCACCTCTAAATTCTGGAAAGCTTTCCTGGACCTGTTAGGTTCCGATCAGGGACTGTCATCTAGTCATCATCCTCAAATGAATGGGGGAACAGAACGAACGAACTCAGTTCTAGAACAATACCTCCATTGTTTTATTAATTATCAAAAGGACAATTGGAGTGATTTGTTGCCATTTGCTGAAGTGGCTTATAACAATGCAGTGCATTCCAGTATGGGGTTCACTCCTTTTCAAATGGTTAACGGCCAGAGTTTCATGACTATACCTGAATTGCCTGCCAACGAGCCTGCTATTCCTTGGACTGGGTTCATCAATTGCAGAACATCTGACCAGTTGTTAGAAACGCTTTAGATGAAGCCAGAGAAGCTTATAAGGCGCTGGCTAAGAAAAGAATGGAGCCTAAATCTTTTTCATATGGGGGACAAAGTTTACCTTACCTTTCCACTAGATTTTTACAGCCATTGAAGAAACTGGTACCGAAATACATCAGCCCTTTTCCCATTAAACGCATCATTAATCCTGTTACAGTAGATCTGGAACTCCCTAAGAGTTTGAGTCAAATCCACCGTTTTCCACTGCAGTTTGTTGAAACCTGAAATCACCTCTAAACTATGGCTGGCTGTTGCTCCTGACCCTCAACCCATTATGGTAGAGGGTGAGCAACACTTTGAAATTAAAGACATTATAGATTAATGCAAACATCATGAATCCATGCAGCATTTAGTGGCCTGGAAAGACTTGCCTGCTTCACAAAATGAATGGATTTATAAAAAACTCCCTTAAGGTATGAGGAATGCAACCTGAAAACATCTGTCTTAAAACATCTTATCTGCCTTATTTCCGGACAACGGAGCCTGGGACTGAAACCAAGAGAGTCCTTGAAAGAGGCGCTACATCCCCTGGTTTTCATAACAGCTTGGCACCTGTGGATTGGCTGGATTTCAACCAGACGGTTGGGGGAAGGAGTTTTGAATTGCTATTTTGGCATACTCTTTCGCACGCTGAATCTTCAGACCTTGCTTTGCTCTCTTGCCATCACTAACTCTCAATAAAAAGTTCCTTTTGAAATGATGCCTGTTTCAAGAGTTCCACTTTATTGGGAAGTCTAGTTGAGACAGGTCCTTACACACAGACACACACACCCTTGACATGCAGGTAATGCTTCATTCTATAGGGAACCAATTCTGACCCATCTACGATGTGTCTCGATTAAAATGTATCTCAATTGGGTAGCTTTACCTGGACATTGAAATGCAATTTCTTCAAACGCTTTATCAATGTGTCTTTATTGCATGGCACAAAAGCTTCAAGATGGGAATACACACCATTGCGGAAAGTAGGATTCAATTCTTGCAGTTGCATTTCAATACTGTTAAACATAAAACAAATTCATACCTAATAAGGAACACATGAACAAAACTCTTGTCTTATTGCCTATTCTCAGGCAAGTTCACATTCTATGAAAAAATTCTGAGAATTGGTTGTTTTATTTGCTGCTCTTTTTAAAGGATTGTGTAATTAATGTCAAACCATAAATATGGCTAAACAAGTGTAAGAATATTATATAATTATGAATAAAAAATACAAAACCTAAATATGACTAGTATACTCTTCAACAAATAAACACCATTCTAATGATTTTTATGAGCTACTTTAGAAATCTACTCATTGCTCAACACATTTATTCTACTACACTAAATATTTTTCTGAAAAACAAAATGAGCACTTACTCAAGCAAGATATTATTCATGTCCTGTGTAAAGAATTTCTTTCTGCCTTCTTCATCAAAAAGCTTGGCAGCCTAGAGACAACAATAAAAATGCACTTCAACTCAGAATTTTAGTAATTTAACTGCTAGCAAGTTGTACTCTATCATAGGATATTTTCACAATCTCAGAAAATCTCAGGATATTTTCACAATCTCAGTTTGTACCAAGTATTTATTGTAGAATACCACAAGTACTTTGTCTTTCTTCACTATTTACAATACTGGGAGATAACATTACTATATTTAAGCATTAAAATTGCTTAATTATTATTTGTAATAATAATAATTAGCTTCATTTAAATGTATTGGCATAGGATAACAAAATATTTGATATCTTTTGGCTTCCGGTTCCGGATTGCGGTGCTGGCGGACGTGCGGGGGCGATTGTTCCCTCCGCCGTCTGGTTTTCTCTCGCTGGAGGACCCTGAAAGGGGTCGAAAGTCGCCTTGGAGGGGCAATGAGCAGGGAAGAGGACCTCTGACAGATCGCGGAAGGGCGGCAGCCCTTCCGTTTGATCTGGAGCAGCTCTTCGGACTGACAGAGAAAAGATCGGCCACCCACATGGCCCATCACTAAGCCACTACCTGCCGAAGCCAAAATTACAACTAAGCACTTGAAAGCACCATGGAGGAACTAGGTGAGATTCTACCTTCTTTTTACCTCAAGTATTTTTTCCTGCAAAAGCTCTCTGAAATTGCTTCCCCCTGTGAGGAGAGAGGGAAGGGAACGTCTTTCTCCCACCCTCTAAAATGACGGCAGGAAGATAAAATCCTGAAAAATATATTTAAGTAATTGGACTTACATGTTTCTTAGATCTGGTGACCCAAAATGTTCCTACTTTCATGGGAACTGGCTATCTTAACTAGTTGAAATAAAAAATAAAAAACATGAAAAGAACCTAAACTGGATAAAAGCCTAGCCTTTCTGAAAAGGATTTTAAAGGCCACTGGGGACATCTTGTGGTGAAGTCTGGTATAGCAAGTGAACATCCCTGGGAAAGCGACTTGTTTAAAATCTAGATCTGTCCTTGGCATTATCTAAAGATAAAAAGCTGCAGCTGGGAGCTGAAACTGGCTCTTAAGAACTGTGAAGGTGAACACTCACTGACTTTTGCTTAAAAAACTAGCCTCCACCAAAGGACTATCTATAAACATTTCAGAAATGGAGGGGGACCAGCAACAAACTTTCCTTGACTATGAACTTATACTTTAAAAAATCCTTGAAGCTGAGATAATTAAATCCAGACTGAAAGACAAAGGTGCTAGCTTGAACCCACAAACTGAAATCCAGATTCCAACTAAAGAACCTACAACCCAGAAAACAACAGAAGCGGGAGAAAACAATACTAAGAAAGAGGAATTTAAGGAACAACAACAATATATTGAAAATTCTGGCAACCAAATCCTGATTGCAACCAAAGAACCTACGATTCCAAAAGTAATAGAACTGAAACAAAGTAATACTAAAACAGAGGATGCGTACTACCTGCCAATAACTATAAAATTGGACATGACCTTTTACCTAAACCAGAAGAAACCTGGGGAAAAAGAAGACCAGACCAAATTGAAGATAAAGACACTAGAACAAATACCGAGACTTCAACTACCAGAGCAACAACTTAATGATTATAAATGGACTAGCCCTTTTGAAAAAGTGATAACTGGATGGTCTCCCTTGATTCAACTAACATGTATCAGAATGAAAGGAGACCTACTTGATAACTCAAAGACATAGGTATGGAAACCTGGTTGGCAGAAAAAGAAAGCTAGAGGTTTAAAAATGGGGCCTCCTGACTTACCATATTTTCCGGCGTATAAGACGACTGGGCGTATAAGACGACCCCCAACTTTTCCAGTTAAAATATAGAGTTTGGGCTATATCAGGGGTAGGCAACCCAAAACACTCAAAGAGCCACTTGGACACGTTTCCCACAGAAAACAAAACACTGGGAGCCACAAAACCCTTTTGATATCTAAAATGAAGATAAGACTGCATATATCCTTTTTTACCTTTATGATATATGTGTGTGTGTATGTGTTTGTGTGTGTATATATAAAATAAAGGTAAAAAAGGATATATGCAGTGTTATCTTCATTTTAGATGTCAAAAGAGTCTCTCTCTCTCTTTCCTTTCTTTCCTCTCTCTCTCTCTTTTTCTCTTTCCTCTTTCCTCTAACTTTCTCTCTCTCTCTTTCCTCTCTTTCTCTGTCTCTCTCTCTCTTTCCTCTCTTTCTCTTGCCTCTTTCCTCTTTCTCTTTCCTCTCTTTCCTCTCTTTCTCTTCCCTTTCCTTTCTCTCTTTCCTCTCTTTTCTCAATCTTTTTTCTCTTTCCTCATTTTCTTTCCTCTCCCCCTTTCTTTCTCTCTTTTCTCTTTCTCTCTTTCCTCTCCTTCTCTCCCTTTCCTCTCTTTTTCTCTTTCCTCTCCCCCTCTCTCTTTCCTCTCCCTCTTTATCTCTCTTTCCTCTCTCTTTCCTCTTTCCTCTCTCTCTTTCTCTCTTTCCTCTCTTTCTCTTTCCTCTTTCTCTCTTTCCTCTCTCTTCTCTTTCTCTTTCTCTCTTTCCTCTAACTTTCTCTCTCTCTTTCCTCTCTCTGTCTTTCTCTTTCTCTTCCTTTCTCTTTCCTCTAACTTTCTCTCTTTCCTTTCTTTCTTTCTCTTCTCTTTCCTCTTTCTCTTTCCTTTCTCTTTCCCTCTTTCCTCTCTCTTTCTCTCTTTCTCTTCTCTTTCCTCTTTCTCTTTCCTCTCTCTCTTTCCTCTTTCTCTTTCCTCTTTCTCTTCTCTTTCTTTCCTCTTTCTCTCTTTCTCTCTCTCCCTCTCCCTCCAGGTTAGGAGAGAGAGAGAATGAAAGGCAGACGGCACCGAACGGGCGGGGAAGGGGAGCAGGACGGGAGGCAGCGGCTCCAGTGGCGGCGACGGCGGCATGGCAGCGGCCACTGCAGCATCATCAGGAGTCCACGCCGCCCCCAGCCTGGCCGCCGCGTCCTCAGCTGAATGGGCGGGGAGGGGGAGCAGGACAGGAGGCAGCGGCTACCAGCCGCCGCCCCCATCGCATCCTCAGCTGAATGGGCGGGGAGGGGGAGCAGGACAGGAGGCAGCGGCTCCCGGCCGCCGCCCCATCGCGTCCTCAGCTGAATGGGCGGGGAGGGGGAGCAGGACGGGAGGCAACAGCTCCTGGCCGCCGCCCCCATCGTGTCCAGGGAGGGGGAGCAGCACGGGAGGCAGCGGCTCCCAGCCGCCGCCCCCATCGCGTCCTCAGCTTATATAAAGGAATAAAATAGAATACCCGTATTTTCCGGCGTATAAGACGACTGGGCGTATAAGACGACCCCCGACTTTTAAGAAGATTTTCAGGGTTTAGAAAGTCGTCTTATACGCCGGAAAATACGGTACTAAGAGAGATCCTAAAGTCTCAACTAATGGGCTAAAGGGAGACCTGGAGACGAAGGGAAATATGACTAGATTTAAATGTTGTTGGATTAATTGGCCTAATAATTAGATTTTAGATTTATAATAAACATTAAGAATCAGCCTTAGCCCAGAAAATAAAGATGGATCTGAGACAATAAAGGTTACTCTATTAGTAAGCTGTGATGTACTAGGATGAGAATTAGAAAATGTTTATGAAATAAAAACAGAATATATTTAAGTAAGTAATATGTGTATTTTAGACATTATAACTCTTGTGTAGTGAAATAAAGGAAATTTGGGTTACCAGAAATTTGAATATTATGGATGTTAAAGGTTAAAATTGGAATACTGTAATTAGAAATCAAGAATTAGGTAAAACTTAAAAACAGGATATGGATATGTATAAACAAAAGATAGATTGATAAATGTTTTGACTGAACCAGATACGGCTAGGAATTTACTAGTTTAACTATGCTATATTAAATGTTAATGGGAAATAGAGAAGGAATTTTTGACAATGTAACCTGATATATGTACTAAAAATGCTGTTACTGACCTATTGATTACCCAGTTACCATGTTGCTTTCTAAATACTTGGATGTTAAAATTGGAAAACTAATAAAATTTGTTACAAAAAAAATATTTGATATCTTTTTAGTTCTATTTTATTTTGAAAACTCAAACTTTTCAATTGTGTTTGAATATGCAATTAAAATTAGATTATCTAATACATTTTAAGCATTATGGTTTCTACAAAGAATAACTAGGAGACTAAACATACAAAAGAACTTACTGCACATTCATATCCAACAAGATGTTTTCTAAAACCTAATCTCAGTTTATAGATGAAATATATATACCATACAGTATATCTTTTAAAATCTCAGGCTATGTTGACACGCGTATTTATGGTTCATGATAGGTTAACGTGTATTTAAAAATCAATCACAACAGAATGAGAGTAACCCCCAACAAAATGGAATGTTACACCCTTCAAATAAATTTTTATTTATTTCTCATTCCCATCTTTCTCATTCCCATCTCCTTCTGAAGGAAGAATTTGAAACCCCTCCCTCCATATTATCCCTCTTCCATATATTCATCAAACAAGGAAAAACCTCCAGAGGCAGAAAAGAGAAGCCATTGAGGGAACTAGCTCAAAAAGGCGCATTCCCCTTTAAGAATTAGCTATTGGCTAGAAAGGAAACGGCACTTAAGGAAGAAAAAAAATGTAAATAAGTACTGGCTGACGGCTAAGGCAGCCTCCCCAAATGTATAAATAAGTAAGTAAAGGAATGCTACAGGCAAAATCCATTTAAGAGAAAAATACTTCAAAATCCCTTGCAGCAAAACTTACAGCTAACAATAGCAGAGGAATAGAAGCTAACACGTCAGCCATCAGCCAAACAGAAATTGCCAAACATTCTTTAAGAACACAAAGCCCACATTGCAAATCCCAGAACTTCAAAGTCACAAAAGCACATAAGAATCCTTCCACTCTCCATCTCCCTCCCTTCTCCGTGCCTCAGCTCCAGCCAATGCTGCCTTTTTTCATTCCTCGTGGAGGGCGACCCCTCCCCCACTGCATTTCTTGCCTGTTTGCTGCTGCCAGCACAGGTGGCTGCCACAGCAGTTGTAGATCAGCTCATAGCCAGCCTGCTTGATCTCTTCTCCTCTCCCCACACCCTCCTCCTCCTTCTTCTTTCCCCTTCGATGCAGCTAGAGCTAACTCCCCCTCCTCCCAAGGCTGCTGCTTTTTTTCTCTCTCCCTCTCCCGCCCAAACTGCTTCCTTTTATAGCCTCTCCTGTCTCCGCCCCCTCTTTCTCTTCTGGGTGAGCCGGAAGTGAGCCTGGGGCCTTTGCCTCACCCCAACCACTCTGCAACTCTGGAGGACACTTTCACAATAAGTTCTTGCCTGTGCTGGCTTGTTCCCTCTCTCACTACACTGGCTGGGCATGGCCGCGTACTACCTGCCAAGTGCTAATGTACCACAGGTGGTACACGTACCACTGGTTGAAAAGCCCTGGATTAGATAACCTGTATCTTTGGTAGTATATATACTGATTTCATACAGATCAGCAATGAACGCTACTAGGGATTGTAATATGCTGTCTCTCAAAAGGAAATAAGAAGTATCAGAGCAGAAGTCCAATATTTGAACATTCATTTCAGTTTGTATGTACTCTATATATCCTGAAGTTTGCAAAGTATTGTGATTGCAAAGATTGCCTTAAATAACATGGATTTTAATAGTTCTTTAAAAAGTAAAGTAAAAAGATATACTTACAATTCTAAGGTCTTCAATACGCTTTTCTAGATGTCCTGGCAGACCTTCTGGGAGGGCAGGCACTTGTTTCAGTGTCAGGATCTCAGCAGTGTGGGGGGGCTGGGTGATACTTCCATTTTCTCCTAAAGGCTCAGATACTGGGCTTCCATTAGAGGTACTATCAAGCAACCTATCAAAATCAATGTCTCCCATCATCTCCAGGGCACTTTCAGCTTCCTGCAGGAGCTCATGTTCATTAGTGCTGCCAAAAATAGAAAGGACTGGATCTGTAATGCTGAGATTCAAGTCGGACATGTCATTACCAACAATGGCAGGAGCAACAGGAAGTTTACTGAGTGTAGAACAGGTAGCTGCTACTGTGGGATTCAGGTTAACCTCCTTTTTTTTAAAGGCTTCTTTCTCTTTCTGAAATTTTCGGATCATAGCAGCCAATGATAAAGAATCCTTGTATAATTTTTTCTTCTTCTTTTCAGATTTGTGTGAATTTAATGCTATTACCCTGCAAATAAAACAATATAAGTAACTGAATGGAATTAATGTCCAATTTCGATTTCAAATAATAAAAATATGAAAACTTTGTATTAGTTAATACTAGAACATTGCAAATTACATAAATCAATGAATAGTGAACAATGTAAAGTAGTGAAAGAAACACAGTATAATCTCACTTTAAATTATTTCAGAACATTGTTTGTAACTAACTTTCTTCAATCCAAGAACTCACGAGTCTAGAAAATTGTAAAATAATTTGTAAACATTTCTTTCCCATCTTATAATAAATTGATTCAAATAGTAGCATCATACTTGCATATGCTTTGGAACACAAATCTAAGAAACTCTGATCAGTATTTTAAAAAACATGTCATGAAAAATATACTGAACCTCACTTGATCTATGTTTATTCTACTGAATTAAATAACTCACAATGGAAATGCTATTGCAAATCATCATTTTTACCATCATCATCAGTTTAACAAAAAGTATTATGTCAGAAGAAAGTACTAACAAACTTACCCCAACTGCTTAGTAACTTTAATTTTCCGAGACTTTTTCTCCTTCTCTGCCTCTTCTTCTTTTCGCTTTCGTTTCTTCATGCTGCGGTCGTCACCATCTTTTAGTTTACCTAACTAAAAATTCAGGGAGCAGAGAGGAAAAGAGGGAGAGGAAGCATACAATAACTTAAATACAGATAGTCCTCAATTTACAATTCATTTCGTGACAGTTCAAAGTTACAACAGCGTTGAAAAAAGTAACTTATGACCGTTTTTCACAGTTATGACCTTTCGAGCATCTCCATGATCATGTGGTTAAAATTCAGATGTTTGGCAACTGGTTCATATTTATGACCATTGCTGTACCCCAAGATCATGCAATCACCTTTTGTGACCTTCTGACGAGCAAAGTCAATGGGGAAACCAGATACACTTAACAATTGGGTTATTAACTTATCAACTGCAGTGATTCACTTAACAACTGAGGCAAGAAAGGTCGTAAAATGGGGCAAAATTCACTTAACAAATATCTCACTTAACAACAGAAATTTTGGGCTTAATTGTGGTCATAAGTCGAGGACTACTTATAATTGAGTATTTTAATTCTGGTTAATAAATTATTTAATTTTTAGGATTGTAAGAAGCTCGGAGTTGCGTTGACAATGAGATGTGTGGCAAATAAATTTACTGAATAAATAAAAGCAAAATCTTGATATTAAAAAAATTAATAGCACCTACAACCGAAAAGCTATAATTTGGATTCCTGCACTGAGCAGAGGGTTGAATTTGAAACCCTAAAGTACACCCCTCGTGAGTCTACTCACTTTAGATGGTTTATGCTTTTTGCTTCCTGTAAAATCCTCCTCTTCAGAATCTGATGCTTGGCGGAATTGCAGAATTCCAGTATTAATATAGAAGCCTCCATATATAGTTGTCAAGGATGCAGGAACTAATTCATCATACTACAAAGAATATAAAAGATTTAAAAAATAAATTACTAATATTTATTAATATAAAACAACGTAGTTGTTTTATTGCAATGCAACAAAAGGCTAGTAGACTATTTGAATACATCAGAACTCTGATTAGTGTAAAGATACAAAGCATGTATTCTGCAATATTTTTCTAATTCAGTGGTGTATCAACCCTCAAAATACAATAGTATCAAACTGTGTAAAGATTTACAACATAGAAAAATATGTGGTATATCTTTTTCATGTTTTTTATATTTTATAAATTAATCTAAACAGCATTTAGGAGGCTTTCAGTGATGTCTAACTAATGCTAAAATTGGTACCTGAAATAAATTTCAAGAATCATTTTTAAATGATATTCAAATCTAGCCCTCATGCCTGCCATTTACTGATTAATACTAGGACTTGTGGGCAAATATAATCACATAACTAGCTTTGTAACATAATTTAAAATATGCAATTTTTTTCTTATTTTTGTCCTTTTTAGGTAAGTGTTGACATGTAACAAGTGTGTATGTGTTTGTGCGTATTTCACTGATATTGTAAAGATGAACATCTACTATGAAGTGTCCTATGCTAAAGAGAACATAATCTTGCCCGATTGTAGTATAAGACATTTGACTTTGGCTAATCAAATAAGTTATTTTATATTTTAAACATTTTTAAAGCTTCTTCCCCAACATATTTAAGAGTTATCTGAATTATAAATTATAAAATGTACTCCTGTTTTTTCATTGTTTAATACTAGATGAAGAATAAAAATCACATCAACTAAAAATTAAAACACAATTGCTGTTAGTCAATCAAGCATGCACTGAAATTAAAAGTATTTACAAAGCAAATGGAGCATTCTCTGATTGTTCTCCCATCATTCTATACCTAATGCTGGGTCCAAATGTAAATACTGCAATGCACGCATGTCTTAAATTACAGAGTTTTAAATAATCATCCAAAAATAATGAGTAGAGTAGAGTAGAATAGCATAGCATAGCATAGTTGGAAGGGACCTTAGAGGTCTTCTGGTCCAACCCCTTGCTCAGGCAGGAAACCTATAGCATTTCAGATGAAGTCCTATCTCTAAACTGGAAAAGGAAAGCCTAATGTCTGAGTGAAATCACCTCACAATATCAGATATACAGTGGTATCTTGGTACTCAATTGCTTTGAAACTCACTGAATTTGATACTCAATGCATTTTAATACTAAAATTTTGTCCCAGTACTCTTTTTTGGGGGGGGGGTACTCAATCAACAAGCTAGACTTGTCAGTGTCAGCTGCCTTGTGAATTACTACATTATTCCAAATGTGTTTGGTACTCATTGCACCTCCCGGAACCAATTAATGATGACTACCTAATACCACTGTACATTTTATCTCTCAGAGGAAAATACAACACGCATGTAAGATTTACTTACAGCTTCTGAATTATCGATGAAAGGATCATTTATATCATAACCAGAGCCCATATCTATCAGATCTTGAGCTCGATCCTTCCGATGTTTGTGGATCTTTCCACCCTATAAAATAAGATTTGATACTTTAGAGAGAGAAAAAATTCCCGCAAAAAAATATATATGAAGCAGATAAGCATTATAGGATAACAGGAAAATAAAGTTCAACAATCTTCCCTGCTTGGTTTCTCTGGCAAATAAGGATCTCACCAAGAGAAATAAATTAAGACTTGCATTTGACCAGAGAATCCAGTTCTATGTTCTTATAATGAATAAGACTGAATGCAGAAACTGAAATGTGCTTAGGCTATTTTAAGAAAAAGTCAGCAATTGGGTTTAGACATAACAGGGGGAATGAATAAAAGCAGAATGATTAGACAGCAAACACAGTGGATGTGTTATCATGACTAAAACATTTTTAAAGCTATATTTGTCATTTAAAGCATGTTAGAAGCAACTAAAAATTATCAGGATTCATGCCTGTAATAGCAATAATTTCTACAGATTTGCTCACATATTTTGTTTCAAATTTCTTAGCCAGAATTTCCACTTCATGCCTTTCATGCTCTTCATTATCAAATGGGTCTTCAATGAGTGGTTTTTTCTGATGAGAGAAAACAAGAAACGAATCACTTTTAATATTTAAATATCTATGACTTCAACTTTAAATGGAAAAGCAAACAGAATCCTTAACAAGTTTAGTTTAATATCTAGTGCATCAGTACTAAACTAAACAGCTAAATTTAAAATAAACCCTTTTGGAATGAGTAAGATGTTAATTAGTGATATACAATCTGTGACCCTAAAACTAAATATGATGACCTAAATCTCAACTGTTAATGCCATACTGCAATTTTAATGTAAGAGACTGGGAAAATTATTCAATATATAGGGAATAATATTAACTGAATTTAATAAATGCACTTCATTTTAATCATAGTTCCATTTCTTGCCATTCAAAACTTATGATTCAGTTAAAAAAGGTTCACCACTGCTTTAAATTATCTATAAAAGGACTTGGCAAAATTTAATGCTTCTAACAACTTAACACAGAATATTTTAAAACCCCACATATATTAAATAAGCTATTATTGAATAACATATGTGAAGACTAAGCTACAACTTTACAAACTCTGAGAAAGAAGACATCAAGTCAAATGATTTTATAGAGCAGTGTTTCTTAAAATGTCATCCATGGAAAACCAAAATTATTTGGCAAATATTTAAGATATTTACAAAAATTAAAAACAATATTATTCTTTTCATTTTTTGTCAAAATATAGGGTTTTTCTTGAGATGTATTTTATTTAGATTATTTATTTAGATTATTTAGATATTGTTACTTTTACATATCCAATAAATAAATACTCAATGACTGTGAATTTTAATTTTAATATAGAAAATATTGATAAAAATAACCAATACAAACAAAAAACCCTTTGGGATTTTCCGTAATTTTTAAAAGTGGGAAGGAGTCCTGAAAATAAAGTTTAAGAAACACTGTCACATAAAATAAAATGTGAGATCTGAAAATTATTAATTTTTCTCCTATACTCAAACATTACCAGAATATAATTCAATTATTTAAATGGTTTATTCCAGATTAACATTAATCTCAATTATAGAAATTAGAATTGTTTTCAAGAAATACAGGTAGTCCTAGATTTATAATCACAATTGGACTCAAAATATGTGTTTCTAAGTGAGAGATATGTTAAGTGAATTTTCCCCCATTTTATGACTTTTCTTGCTATAAAATTGAATCACTGCAGTTGTTAAGTTAGTAACACAGCTGTTAAAGTGAATCTGGCTTCGCCATTGACTTTGCTTGTCAGAAGGTCACAAAAGGTGGTCACATGACCCCGGACACTGCAACTGTCATAAATGAGTCAGTTGCCAAGCATATGAATTTTGATCACAGGATCATGGGGATGCTGCAACGGTCGTGTGAAAAATGGTCATAAGTCACTTTTTTCAGTGAAGCTGAAGTCAGTAAATGAACTGTTGCAAATCAAGGTATATGTAGCTATTTCCCATCATGACATAGTTCATTCAGTATGTGGCCAATGACAGTAGAAAACTGTGATCACTACACAATATACAGTATTACCTAAGTGATTCTGAAATAGGCATTCTTGCTTCCTACATGACATTTCAAATATTGCATCTATCCAGATTTATCCATGTGGCATCCAGTAGATTACCACAAATTGCTCTATCAAAATTTTGTCCTCTCTTCTCATGCCTCCAAATGTCTGTTTCAATCACCTTAATTTAAAAGGGAACAGTAGCCACAGTTCTCTTCACTGTTTCCAATTTTACAGATGTAGTAATCATCATGCAGGATAGAAAGGAAGGTTAATCCGTTCTCTTTCCTTTTTAAAGAAACAGAACTGCTGCTGGAAATTTTGTAGCTCAGTTTTGTAGTTTATCATAAATAGTAGCAACTGGATGAGTTAAAGCAGCAACAAAACATGGCTATGGATTAATACACCTTGAGTACCATGTCAAATAAATCAAGACTCAATATAATTTAGTGTACAAAAATACAGTTAGTCTAGTCTAAAACATAATCAAGATTAGGCCATCAAGGATAACCATTCTATTATTTCTACATTGGAACCATATATCTCCAAATACCACATGCAGAACAAAGCAGGAGACACATACACTTCTATTTTTTGCCTTTCACCATAGAAAGATCTGGTTTAGGAGAAACAAAATGCTAGCTAGATTGGGCCCTGTTGTCAGAAAGGTGCTAAAGTGAGTTTTCCCAGTATTTTAGATATGGATACAAAGCAATTAGTTTTTACTTTTATTTAGAAACATGGAAAACTGATGGCAAAGACAGTCATGGTCCATAAAGTCTGCCCTTTGAGTTTTTTTAATTACTTTATTTTTAAAACTTTTGTTGGATGATGGACATATTTTTCCCAAGCATGTTTAAACTCAGTTACTGATAATTGGCCCACTACCTCCACAGGAAGTTGGCTCCAACCTTTTATTACTTTCTGTGAAGTAATACTTTATAATATTACTTGTGAACTTGTCTCCTGCCTGTTTAAGATTATGCCCCCATGTTGAATTTTTTTAAATATTGGAAATACTGCTTTCTAGAACCTTATTTACAAACTTTATATATTTAAAGGTTTCAATAATGCCCAAACTTTCCCTTCTGTCCTCCAGGCTGTACATATTCAGTTCCTCCAATCTCTCCTATTATGTTTTTTCCCTCTGACCTTGCACCATTTTTATTGCCTGTCTCTGTACTCGCTCAATCTTATCAATATCTTTTAAGTGAGGTCTCCAGAACTGGACACAGTACTCCAAATGGAATTTATCTATGCTAAGTATGCCAAACTATGATATCTTCTTTATCATAATTTAACATATTAAAACCTTCTTTACTGAAACAAGCCAGATTAATTCACAGCTAAATTGTTTTAAACAGACTATAACCATACTTTGAAGAATGGATGTGCCCTTCTCACTCTCCAAGCACATACACTTAAATTCAATGGTTGTAGTCAATCATTAAACTGTTAAGAGTGTTTAACAATGATCTATTGAATCAGAATCAATTTTGCGGATCAGTGACTATGCATGACTAGATGTTGCTTACCATCTTTTAATTACTTTCTCATCAAAATAGAAAAAATGAGCCCTATGGCCTATTTACATATTGTACTAAACTACGGTACAATGTCAGCCAATAATTCAACATTGATTTTAAATTAATTTACTGCTCCTTAAACCATGGTTTACTGTATGTATCCAGACACATTTGACTCAAATAAATCATTAACCTACGACTTCTCTACTGTCTCACTTCATATTATTTTCTTTAATCTTACTTTATATTATTTCATGTTCATCTTTTATCTCTGTAAAATTAATGGACTCTAAGAGCAGCAAAATAGATTTGTGGACCACATGCAGCTCTGAGGATTCAGGTTGCTCAGCCATGCAATAAAAGATACCATAAATTATCCTATTTGAATCAAATAATTTAAAATAATTATTTTAACCTTAAAATAAAATAACTATCTTAATGTTACTAATATAAAATAGATATAATGCTTTTAAATATTTACATTCATGGTAATCAAACTGTTATTTTATGTCATAAATCATCAGTGAGAAAAAAAATACAGATTTGGAACTTCCACATGAATCAATTCCACAAGCATGAAACTAACTGAAGTCTTTTGCTGTACTAGTAATAGCAGCTTTAATAATAGTGTGGAATTTGGATAGTGTCCACTGCTTTACAAAAGTTCTGTAGCCTCACCTTCCCAAATAGAATAGCATAAGAGCAGGATCCACTTGAATAAAATTATATTTATATACTTACTTATATACCATTTTTTTATATTCACCTAGGTTTTTCATCTGTTATGACTGTTCTCACCTATTATCCCAGGATTAAGAGCTATTTGTCTTAATCCTGGGATATTAGATATATGATTAGCAATCCTGCAAAATGGGATTTGAACAATTATGGGCAATTTGATCCAGAAATTATCATTACTTGCATTTATTTTTATCCCTTTTAATACAAATCTCACAATACTCAGATATACCTTCAAGAAAAACATCCAAATTGCTATGAACTTATTGTTGGCCTGCAGTACTCCAAGAGCAATACTATGTAGAAAAGATAAATTATAGCAGAAAAAAGAAAAAAAGAAATAGCAAAAGAAGACACTACATTTCATATTATAACAGCAGAAAAAGGATGAGGGACAATTGGTAGAATTCTTAAGACCAACCAACATACAAAGAGAAACAGATTATTTTTAAAAAATCACAGAAATAGTTATTTTCTAATGATAAATTGTAGGTAGTAGTGTTAATTTTGGTAATAGTACTGAGCACTGTTGTGCAGTATAATAGAAATGGCTACAATCAGATCTTATCAACACTTAAAAAATAATCAATGACATCTTTTTGCAATGTTCTATTTTTAAACCCCAAATACCAGAATATATTACTTTGTTCACATAGTAAATTTCCCTATAAGTGAAAAAATAATTTAGAATATTTCAGTTAACTTTAGATTCTCAGAAACATAAAAGGGACTGTGGGTTACATATAGTGATGGCCCATTTCTCCAAAAAAGCAAAACAAAACAAAAAAAAAACCCAATCTTGCATGAGGCCTCAAGTTACTATGAATCAGGCTGCATCAACATTTCTAAATGCATTATTGGTGCTAAATTCACCACAACACTATCAAAAGTAAAAATTATCAATAGGCTAAAGATATTTAAATAATGCAAATTTGTATTTGTCTCCAATCAGAAAGAAAAAAATTACATCTTCTCTGAAATAGGACACCCTGTAACTTTACTGCAGCCATCAATTTCAGTCGAAAATGGACAACACAGCCTAGTGTGGTTAAATCTATCTCCCAACAGTCCTAATTTGTTCAAAGGTAAGGGCCAATGTGAAATGCAGTTTAACAATATTTAGAGGTACATCATCATCCCTAAATTTAGCACTCTAAATATCACCAATATATAGGATGCTAAAATTTCTCAGTATGGACTAAACAAAGCAGTAGTACAGGTTTACTACTGTGATAATCTGAGATTAAAGTAATTTAGATATCCACCTCTATTTTATATATATTAAAACAGAACGTAACAAAAATCTTTTATGAAGACTGAAGGGATACCTAACAGCTTTATTAAAACAAACATGCTTCTTTTAATACTAACACTTATCAGATTCTCTATCCCTCTTATTTCAAAGAATTATTTTATTGATCTTTAATGTTCCTCAATCTCCTGCAAATATCTTTTAACATCACATTCAAAAGTTATACAACAGATTCAAGGTACCGAGATCTAAAGAAAAAAATATCTAATTGGCTTTAATAATTTAATAATTTACATAATAGTTACAACCAATCTCAATATTTTGATTTCTTAACCTGAATCCTCAGGTTTTCATCCTAATGGCTACTTACAAACCATTTTCACAAATTTACTCATAAACTATTTATGAAAAATATCAACAAGCAAGTGCTCCCAATTTCCTGACTTTGTAAAAAAAGAAATACCCAATTTTTACTTGCCTTTACACCACTTCTATATAAATCTTCAAACCCCTACAATACATAAACTAAGTACAGGCATAAAAGTGCTTATAAGGTGTATTGAAAGAACACTGCAAATAAAAAAATCACAGGTATATGCTCATTCACAACAGAAAAACTAATCTACTATAACAAAATCTTTCTGGCACAGATATATTTATTTACTTGCTTTGGGCTCTTTTTGTATCAAAGGGTCTTCAAAGACCAGTAGAAAATCCAGCTCCTATAGGTTCACCATCTTTTGACTGAATCAGAGTAGCAATTTGGTCTTATATCCATCCTAATAGGGGGCTTTTTTTTAATGCTAAACCCCCTTACTTTCTCATTATTCCTCTCCCCCCTTCCTCCTTCAGCACTGAAGCTAAGGACTATGCTAAAAGAACCATATAGGACAAGACTGACAAAACAGGAGGCAGAAAGGGTAGATAAAGAGCGAGTGTTTGCAGGTCTAGTACCCGGGCCTTGCCACTCCATAGCAACTCGGGATAGCTGAACTCCACGCAGCTCTCCTCCGTGGGATCTTTCAAGATCAACTCAAAGCGAATCGTCTGATCCAGTGGTGGCGGCGGCGGTTCCTGTCGGTTGTTCTCTTGATTTAGCTGCTGCTGAGACGACAGCGGCGGTGCTTCTGGCCTTGGGGACTCTCGGTGGGGTGGCGGCTGCGGTGGCTTTGGTGTCAGCTCAGGCCGACTGATCTCCCGCGGTAATGACACAGGGTGAGACTCTGGCCGAGGACAAGATTCGAAGGGTTGCGATGGCGGCTCTGCCCGACTGTTATCATAGTGGTGGTGGTGGTGGTGGTGGTGCTCCTGCTGATCTGGTAGTTTCAGGCCCTCACGCGCTAATGGCTGCTCTGCCTCGCGGCCCCCTCCAGTCTCTCGCTCTAGCACCGGAGACTCACCTTCTCGTCGCCTCACGGGTGACAGACTAATGAACGGCACCCGACGCGGCTCCGCCATCATCGACCCCCCCACCCCCCCTTCCCACCTGTTCGGTGACCCTCCCTCGCCACCCACAACCCCAGCTCCTCCTCCGCCCGTTCCCTCCCCCTTAACCTGGTCAGAGTACCTCCCCTCTTCCCTACTAGCCTCTCCTTGCCGATAACATCGCTGCCATCTTGGAGCCCCCCCACGTAAATAGAAGCAGGCTACCAGGGCACGCATGCGCAAAAGCAGAACCCTCTACGGACGCGCTGCTACACGTCATTGTTGTTCTAGATTGTTTTTTTAGCACGTCACTGCGATCGCACGTTGAAGACGACATGACTCCGCCCACGGTTGCCTTGGAAATACGTACGCCGTACTATCGTAAGACTTTTTAAAAGTCTTCGCAGAGTTCTGAATGAGCACTTTTCTTCGCTGTTGGTGGCTCGGAGCCAACTACCTCAGGAACGCGGCGCTAATGCGGCAGCTACCAAGTGCATAGTCATTTCTTTTCATAGATTTTTTTTTCTCTAGTTTACAGCAAGTGAAGATGGCCATAAAAACCATTTGGTACTTGAAAAAGTTGTGAGCATTCTATTTTTGGTGTATGGTTTTCTTCCCGTTTAATATTAGTTTCATTTAACATGGCATGAACTAATTACAAAATACTCTTTATTATTGTTTCTAAGATGCAATTCAAAGAAACTGACCATCCTAAAAAGTCTTAAATGCTAAGACAAAGCAGAAGTTATATCGAGCTCTTTTTTTCCCTTTGGTATCTAATTTCAGAGGCAAAGTTGTAAGGCAGTGGTGGCGAACCTATGGCACGGGTGCCAGAGGCGGCACTCAGAGCCCTCTCTGTGGGCACACGCGCCGTCGCCCCAATCCTAGGCCTTCAGCTGGGTTTTATAAAACCTTTTCGCTTTAGGCCTCCACCGCCGTGTGCAAAAAAAAAAAAAGGTTCAATCAATTTCAACTTTTCACGGGGGAAAAATAGATCTTGCAAAGTTGGAATTGATTGATTGAACTTTTTAGTGCCACCCAGTCTGCCGTTACCACTGCAGCCATGCCCACCCAATGGGCCACGCCCACCCAATGGGCCACATCCAGCCAATGAGCCACACCCACCCGGCACCCAACAATGTATAAGTGGGTTTTGGGTTGCAGTTTGGGCACTCAGTCTCTAAAAGGTTCGCCATCACTGTTGTAAGGCATAAGGCCTAGCTCTCTAGTTAGGGTTACATAGAGCTATACAAGGTTACATGGATCTATATGGTCCAGAATAAGGCCTCTTGGTTTAATTATGTAGAATCTACCCAATTATACAAAATAATACATGTAATGGATTTATTTTTGCAATGTATATGCTGCTTACGGTAATTCCAAAATGGCCTTCAGCAGTTTAGTACAAAAAAGAAAGAATTTTAAAAAATAACGAAACTCCGAACCTAGCCATATGGCATATACAAAGAACAACAACAACAAAAAATTCACAGGTGATTTTATAAATGAATTTATTTTAGGATTTTGCTCCAGAATTAAATCCAGGAGAGACTGAAAAAAATGTGTAATGAATATACAACATCAGTTTATATTATTTACATACAACATATACAAGTAGATAAATACATATTCTATCATGGATTTCCAATGTTCTTTTGTGTTTAGACATTTTTCCTTAAGCATTATATATATTCTTGAAACTTTACTTTCCCAATATACTAAAAAAATACTTCATCATAGAATGACAAGTTTATAGCCCTAATTTAATCAGAAAGAAAAATATAGAAACAGATGTAGATATGAACAGCAATCTTTGATAAAAATGAAAATGGATCGTTATCTATTTATTTACAATACTTCTCCTTATGTCCATTATATCATAACAATGAAAACTATTTAATCAGGTCATCATTTTCTTAACTGTGTTCCATTTTAAGTGTTTAGCTTCAGATTCTTTACGGGGGTCTTTTAAAAACTAAAATCTGAAATCTAATTCTAGAGCTCTTTTTCTATTCTTCAAAATAGGGCCTGGGAAAATCTGTATTTTGCAAGTTCTTGAACTGTCTCAAAAAAGTACTGATTGTCACACAATTGTCACACATTTTGAAGATTAAAGCCAATATGTACAACAAAGTCAGTAATAATAGCATAAAATAAAATTTAGGAGATGTATAAGAGTCAAAATGAAATTCTCACAATACATGACATTTGCATACTTTTCATGAAAGACATTTAATTATCTGTAAAAATAAATAGATCTGTATTTTTATAATCTTTGCTCTGCTACAAAATGACACAGTATTCCAGCCAGGCACAATATAGATAGCAGCCTTCCATTCATTGGTCACACTGTTTAAACAGGAACTCTGTTCTCCTTGGCCCACTTCTTTATTATACGTACAATGTACTCTACCTGGGGGTTGCCTGTACTTCTCAGGAGATGCAGTACCTCCCTTAGAGTATCTCTGAAAGCAAAGAAATAAAGGTTTTTTAAAAAGAGAAAGAATAGATCAGACAATATTATCAACTTCTAAGTATGCTATATCTGAAAAGTTTTGGAACATTTTCTTCAGTCCTATTGCTAGAAACTGACTTCTTCTCTGACTTCACGTAATGGATAAAATAAAGTTTTATATAGGAATGAGAGAAAGTGATATATCAGATTTGATAGGAAATAGAAGCCCAAAATTCAGCCCCATAAATTAGTATGTATTCAATTGGAGTAAGTGGCTATCCACGATGCTGACTTGATTTCTCCCATCTTCACCCTATATTGGTGCTTAAATGTAAAATTTCTTCCTTTCTGTTCTGCATTCTAAAATTTTTCAATTTTAGAATAAGAACAGAGAAGAAATTTTATATTAAAAGCGTCAATATAAAATGAAGTTCTGCCAAAAGAGCAGATATATTTGTTGTGATTAATACTGCAATAATAAAGTGGAATTTAATGTAATTACTTTTTGGTTAGCATCCTGAGAACAACCCCACATCCAGCCATCTTGGAGCATGAAGTAGGAAAATGGAGAAACTATTGATTAAAAATTATATCAATTTGCATATTGGTTACAGACGTGATTGGGAAGTAAAAAAAATAATCCCAAAGAAGGCAATAGCAATCTATTTCTAGTGTTGCAAAGGAAACAACATGGGTGTATGATTGCAGTCACTGAGAGATACTGTAAGAGTGTCTAGATGAAAACTTTTATTGATAAAGTTTGGGGATGAACACTATACTTCACCATTTAAGGATGGTCCAGGATCCTTTTTATTTGTAGACACACATTTATTCGATATCCCAGCTTTTGTAGGAGCCCAAGTCAGCCAGCATACAAAAGTATGCTTATTATCAGTACTAGTAGTTATGAATATCTTTTAGTGGGTTCAGGTAATTTGTTCACTGTAATCTTATGACAATTATACAATTGTTCTTCAAAACAATTCATGAAATATTTTGCCACAAAATATGTCTGGAAATATTTGTTTCCCTGAAAATTATTTGTTCTGGTGATCAGAGATACAATTAAGGTTCAAAAAATATCAGGCAGTCTACAATGATTAACAGTGAGGGCAGCCTAGGTTTGGTTTAGCTTCAGTATACCATTTTTTAAAAATGTATGTCAATCTTGCTGATTATATACAGATGTTTCTACTTAAAATATTAAGAGTAGCCTGTAAATGAGGGAGGACATTCTCTATGGCTATTCCCAGAATTTCTGTAACATAAGAATGTTCTTTTATCTTCTCTGGTGCCTTTTATGCAACCTGTTTTTAATCAGGGACTTTTCTGTTGACCAGCTATTTTTAATTTAATTTAATTTTTCAAGCTTATTCATTTTTATTTTTATTTCCCCTGGCTGTATAACCTGTCTGTTAATTTTCCCCCTGTAAACTGGTCTTCTCCCTTGGGGCAACCCCCGCGATCCACAGGTGCCTCTCTGCCTGCTTGATCTCCCCTGGGGCATGTCTGGCAAGCATAGGGTGGCCGGTCCACCAACCTCTCCATCCCTCCATCCGTCTCTGCAGTCTCTGCAGTCCTTACCTGCTCTGCCACCCACCAGAGCGCCGAACCTGCCTGATCCTCATCAATTGTGCTACTGCAGAGCTGGGTGGAAAGATGGAGAGCTTGGTGCACTGGCTGCCTCACACTTTCTGGGTGTGCCCTGGGGGAGATCAGGTGGGCAGAGAGGTATCTGCAGGAATCTTAGATCTCGCATTCTTACAGATGATCCTGTCTTCTGCACAAAAATGAGCTTGTATAAGAATGTGAGATCTAAGTAAAACAGCTTTGCTGGAGTCTGAGAAAAAGATGGGCACTTTTCTGCCACATGGCCCAGCCTGTTCTGGAACTTTGAAGATCTTTGAAAGGTAAGTGAACAATCGGTGACAAGGTGGGGAGGAGCCTGTGGAACCCTGTGGGCTAGCAAAGCAAGCCCAGTTCCTGTGGAGACCTGGGGAGGCAGTATGGGGAGGAAACAGGCAGGAGGCATATTGCAGCATCTCTGTGGTTTGGTCATAAGGGCGAATGACTACCACGGTGTTGCAACACACATAACTTTGGGACCAGATCATAAGTACTTTGGGGGAAGGGTGTTGTAACTTTGAACCATCACTAAGCGAACTGCCATACCTCGAGGACTACCTGTATTTTAATAAAGATAAGGCTCCATTCATAATACACACTTTACCAGAATCAAAACTTAACAGCCTTCTGTTCCTTAAGTTTCTAATTGGCATTTGAACTCAGTAAGCATAACAAACCAACAATACTGTAATGTTAAGCAGCCAGAGTATTATTCCAAAGTAGTAGAAAACAATTCAGTGCATATACTTAGGCTCTCTGCCAGCGACAATCATCTGGAAGATACCAACACAGGCACCTCTTTTGCCTTCCCAATATTCAGGGTTAGGATCCAATCTTTCAAGGACATCAAAAGCTTTGGCAGAATAATAAAACTGGCCCATCTGTTCAGAAGATAAAGGTACATGCTTAAGGCAGCAACACTACATAAAACAAAGTTTAAATACTGTACATAGCAACATAAAATGAGGAATGAATGTTGACACTGAATTTTTCCTGCTCATGATTTGAAAGCCGAATAACATTTTCTGACTTTATTTTCAAATTAAAGAAATAAATACTTTTAAATGTCATAAACACATTATTTATTGATAGAATATTTGTAGCTCAATGTTGAACTGTGGAAATCTTGGTGCTCTCTGAGCTTGGTTGTTTTCTTGCAGACATTTCATTACCAAACTAGCAGAAAACTAGCAGAACGCATTCATGAACAACTAGCAGTCAGAAGACATGATGAAAACTCCTTAATTTCACAACACATGGACAGTCTTAACCATAGTTTTTCAACTTGGAAACTGTGAGCATCCTAGACCAAGTTAAGTCTAAAAACGCTAGAGAATTCCAGACAAATCTACCATTAACAAGCCATAGACACAAACAACATCTACATACCATTCAAAAGAGACAATAAAAAAGCCGAAAAGGAAAGAAAAAGACCAAAAAGCCTCTTCACCAAGCAACACCCAGATGAACAGAGATTAACCTCAAGACTAACATTAGACCAACAATCAAGAAGCAAACAATATATCAATCAAGGAACTGCCAAACAGGCTAACAATAAACAATAGCTCAAACAGATAACCACCACGACTACTCCCACCATCATTTACAGGGCAAGCCACTAGCATATACAATGAGAGCAAACCCCATTCCCCACTAGCACTGATGATGTTAACTAGTTTGGTAATGAAATATCTGCAAAAAAACCCAATGAAGCTCAGAGAGCACCAAGGATTTCATGTTATTTATTTTTAGAGGAGGGAAGGGTTACCATGCTTACATCGTGGCACAGAAATGGGCATGCCACTAACCATGATAGTTGTACAAACAATTTTAAAGATGGAAGATTTTCTTTGCAAACATTTTAAAATGTTATTTTTTCTCAGTTCGACTTTCAGTTACATTTTACCTTTCATCCTGAAACATTTAAAAATTTTAAATTTCTAGCAAAGTATCCTATTGAATAAAATAATTTCCAATGAACAGAAATATGTTTTTAAAAAGTTATGGTCAAAATTATATTTATATTAAAACAGAAAAGCCAAAATTCAGGAATAGCTCAAATGATTGAATCCTCTGGCTCAATATAAAGCATTTTCTTCTAAATGAACATTTAAAAATAAAGGAATTGAGCACTTATAAGAAAAAAGATAAACCTGTAGTTTTGTGAAATATTTGCATCTACATCTTAGAAAAATACCATAAACATAAAGAAAAGTTAATTTCCTTACTCAATGAAAGG